ACGTGGTTCGGCCTGTTGTTTTTAGAGCATAGAGCCTTCACGAGGTTTCCGCGACAACACCACTCGAAGCTTGCAACGGGTCTCGCTGCGTTTCAAGGCAGATTTGAGCCGAAGTTTGCTATTAACCTGTCTCATATAAACTCTTAGTCTAGCCAACGTTATTTTTATTTTTATTTTATTTTATTATACCCTCAGGGCCAGAGGCATCACAGAGGGGAGTGGTACAGGACAAAGGTATAACATGAGGTAGCATGGTTACAAAAACGTTGTGCACATAAAAAGGGAAAAAAAAAGACAAAACAAATTAGTATTATCGCAACAATGTGGTCACACAAACACAGATTAAATATTAGATATTTCTGCATATACAATATTGGCTAAGGCAGCACGGAACAGTTGGTTATCGGTGATACCCGCAATTTCAGCGGGAAGGGGTTACGGTAAGGAACTATCGGGGATGTCTGTCGGAAGCAAATGCTTGATCGTTACTAAATACACTTGCGTTCGACTCGACGAGATACATGCATGGTGCTGACAATAGCAACGGCAACGATAATAACGAGAGCACGGTAACGACGAAAACTTGCAAGAGGGAAAGGAGACCCACGAGTGCCGTGAGTATAGTTCCAGGTCCCTTCGCTTCGATGAGATAGCATGTGGGCACATAGGCACATATATACCATGTGCGCACAAATGCACTTGGGAGGCTGTGATGTACCCTAGTGGGGAAACCGTGAGCAAGCTTATGTGCATGCAGGACATGCGTTTGCTCTCGTTGAAGTTGTCTACGCGAAAATTAAAGTGTCTTGACTCCGTAGGCGAGCCCCGCCGCGGTGGTCTAGTGGCTAAGGTACTCGGCTGCTGACCCGCAGGTCGTGGGATCGAATCCCGGCTGCGGCGGCTGCATTTCCCGTGGAGGCGGAAATGTTGTAGGTTCGTGTGCTCAGATTTGGGTGCACGTTAAAGAACCCCAGGTGGTCGAAATTTCTGGAGTCCTCCTCTACGGCGTCTCTCATGATCATATGGTGGTTTTGGGACGTTAAACCACACATATCAATCAACTCCGGAGGTGGCGTAACCAAAGGCGTTGGTAACTGCTGCTGAAAACGCTGAAGCGTGCTGTGTCCTTGCGTTGCGATAATTACGAAGCGACGAGAGCACGAACAATGATCGAATAAACGCGGCGTTTAGTCATGCGCGCTGCTCGTGTAACTGTATAGGCATTACACGTTGGTTGATTGATTTGTGGGGTTTAACGTCCCAAAACCACCATTTGATTATTAGAGACGCCGTAGTGGAGGGCTCCGGAAATTTTGACCACCTGGGGTTCTTTAACGTGCACCCAAATCTGAGTACGCGGGCCTACAACATTTCCGCCTCCATCTAGGCATTACACGTTTTTGTTGCTTATTGAGACATGAAAAGTTATTCATAACCTTTGGGGCATACAGGGATATAGATGACGTAAACATCCAAATTACGATATCGTAAACGTTACAAGCAGATAAAGCTCACAAGGAGACTGGTAGGCATGCAGCAGCAGCGGATTATATAAGGCTAAACGTTCAGTTCACTTGTGACCACGTGAGTGGTATATAGAAAGTTCGCAGATATCTGTGGATGTTGGTTGAGATACTACGAAGGATGGCATAAAATTAGCGCAACCAAATTATGTCCATAATTTACTCGCAAAGGAAAACACGCAGAAATGGATGAAAACAGTGACAGCATGAGTGGGACTTCCAACTGAATCGGTGTGGGCGCTGACCCAAGAACAAATGTACAGCAAGCGTGCGCAGTCTTATCTCAACCTTATATTATCCGGCGATCAAACAATCCCTTTTCTGATACGTACCACGTAACACAGGTCTCTCTTATACAACTCGCTGTCTTTTTTCAAGTGACATGCTTCCACCAACGCACGCGAACTCTGATACTTGCTTCTGCCTAAGGTCATCATCATCTATTTAGAAAGTGATTGACACTTGTAGGTTCTGCACTGCATTAGCAGATGCGACAAGTTATCCCTCACTAGATTTCGTTTATGCACTCTGGATCGTTCATACGGTCGTCATGGTCCTTCAGGTGTGGCAGGAAAATTGAGTTTGTGGAGACTATTGATTTTAGTCGTTAAACATTAGGAAGATAGACGCGATGTTGATGGATGCGATGCCACAAAGATTGGCTGAGTTGAAGTGATAGTCGCTGTAGTTGCAAGCAAACTCGTGATCCGGCGAAAGCCGCTTGCACGAGCATGCCCGGACGCCATGACCTTCAGGCGGACCATGCGTTGGCTGGCGCCCAATTCGCCCCTGAGCCACGCCGCATATTTTGGTGTAGACTCTTTCAGATACATGTTTTTGATAATAACCTCTCAACCCTCGAATCGGCCGCCGAAGGGTTGCATACGATTGTGACAAACGCTTAATCAAGCCTGTATGGCCGACGCTTTCTTTTTTATCCTTTAGCACTATAGGCCCACGATACTTGTATGTTCTTTTTCATTGCGTACGCGCCTTCCATGCAAGTGGTCCGGTATTCTCGTCACGACACTTTAAGAGCAGATAATCTTTATCGATAACACTACTTGCACATGTGATATGCGGGAATAATCGATGGACAAATTATCGCCTAATGAAATAAACAAACGCGAATTCTCTTGAAACGTTGTTTTCGTTCACTCATGCGTCTCTCGTTGCATTCATGTCGGCCATAACGTATAAGCCTCATTGGCAGCGCAATGGTGAACATGAATGGTTACTGAGTCTGCCGCGGCTTAGCGCTGGTTACGGAGTTCGGCGGCTGACCCGAAGGTCGCTGGTTCGTTCCTGTCGCAGCGCTGACAGTGAGGTGGAGGCGACATGTCAGAGGCACATGTACTGTGCGAAATGCAAAGTGCAGGAACACCGGCTGGTCGGAATTTCCGGGGCACTCCACTACCGCGTATCTCGTATACTCGTATCGTGGTTGTAAAACCACGGGTGTTACATTATATTGAATCGCTACTCTTCGTAATGTTACTTTCCGTTCGTTGCTGCCACATTCTACGGGTTCTACAGGCCGTTCACAAAACAAAGACGCCCCCAAGGTAACCGGCCTTGGGCTGACCGCCGACTGTTGTCCGCACACTTCCGGTTGCCGCTTCCGGTGTATAAGCCTCCGCCGTCCCCATTGTACCAACTCCGCCGCGTAGGTTTCGCGTTTTTTGAATCGCCGTACGATAGCGGGGCCACACGCAAGTGAACGCTACAAAAATATTTCCTTAATGGGTTAATTATTCACTGTTCAAGCGTCATAGTTAGTTATTTCCCGCGCTCTTTCTATCTACGCAGCCTGCGAAACAGCTTCTTTTGGCGCACCGTATGTTCAAGGCCGGCTTATATCATAGCCACATGAGCTCAATTCCATATTCATGGGCTGGCTTGACTAGCCGTATTTAAATCAGGGGTGTGGCCACTGCTAAATAAGTTAGTGCTCCACTGATAGATGACCAAAATATCGAGATATAAATTTCAAAGAGAGGGTTAGGCACCCACGTGGATATCCTCAAAGCGGTTGTCACCAGCTGACTGTTATCAGCCCCGGCGCCATTGCGTTAGACGACCGTGAGAATGAATAATGACTTGTGCGCCCTGACATCAACGAAAATATATAAAATATACGCAGACCCATATGTGCCGTATGAAGGGGCCATTTCCGGTAGGTGCTATCAGAAAGCCCGGGGCTTATCTAAAAAGAAAAGCTGACGCGTGCATTCAGTATATCCACTAATTTATGTCTCCAGACCTGGCATTGCATTCCGTCCGTGCTAACAGTCTGTCCACCAGATACATGATTGGGGAACGACTTATAGTATTTATGTTAATGCATAATTGCATTTAAAAGAGTGAGAGGAAGTGAGAGGGTATCGGTTTGTTCCTAACCATCTGTTTGAGGCATAATTATAACTAACACTAATTAAAGATAGAAATGAAAGTCCACGAAGATGCAGGTATTTTTGCGCAGGAGAGAGTATACGTAGACGTACACACGATGAATCATGCCTGTAAGTTCGGCCTATGTCGTAATAAGAGAGAGGTCCGATGCACAGCTGCGTTGTCGTGAAGCTACGGCTGCTTCTACTAGTCTTATCATCAACATTTTTTCATTGGTGGGTTACTAAAGAAGAGTGTTGTGAAAACACTGCAAACTCCGTGGCGAATAGGTTAAAGGGACAACAGTCGTGGAATTTCTGAGAACAGTTTTACATCATCACTATGCAAAAGTCAAGTACGAGTCTGATTGTGTACCGATATTTCAAGCAGATGTTGATGTAGTTATCGAAAGAACCCGGAGACGCAGAGTGCACTTGCTTTCTGCTGGTGGGCTCAGAAAATTTCGATCATCTGGTGCCTTTAGCGCGCACTGTCACGGCGCAGTACATGACCCTCTAGCATTTCTCCCCCATCGCTTTTCCTCCTTATGTATGACGGAGAGAGGGCTGACGGTAGTTATAGCGCGAGAACAAAACGATGACACAGAGACAATAAGGACACGAGTTCTTGTCTTGTCTTCTTGTCTCTGTGTCGTCGTTTTTGTTCTCGCGCTATAACTACCGTCATGCCATACCAACTAGCCCAAGCTGGCACATTTCTAAGGAGAGAGGGCGTGTAGTTACGGCTACAAGGGAGGAGACTAACAGAATGCGCGGAATGGCGGAAGAGAACTGTTTCTTAAACATGAGTACCTACGAAGAATGGCTGAGCTCCCCGTCACTCTAGGCTCCATCTAGAGTTGTCGCTGAGTAGTAAAGAGGAACGCTGATGACTAGTGTGGCGTACTTTACATATTGCTATTAAAGAGGCTGCATTGTTTCTATGTAATTCTACTGAATTTTAAATCAGATGTCAAAACTATGAGGCAGACGAACGGATGGAACAATAATAGAAGGTGTTAAGTCAAATATTCAAATAATGAATTCGGAAAGAAAATGAAAGGTGGGAAGTCTGGGCATCGCTCACCTGTAGCTGAAGTTCCGAACGCCGATGCGAGACGAGTTGAGTTTTTCTCCTACAATTCCGGCGGGAACTTTTTTCGTTTCTTTCTTCTCCTCTTCCTCTCCGGCAAAACCTTGGCACAGATGTATGCGGCGGCACTATCTTCGCTACACCGTCGGCACTGCTAGGCAACCGGGTGAGAGGCCGTTTTATTATTTTTTTTTCGAAATCCCTACGCGCGTGTGACTCCGCACGTTCGTAAGAGATGCAACGCAACACCGCGAATCGCGCGCTTCCCAAGTACAACTTTTGTCATTCGCCGCGGTGGTGACCGCGTTTCTTCAGCGCCTGCGCGGAGAGCGACTCCCGTAGCACATCAAGCCAGCCGACGACCCTCGTACGCGCGTACGACCAAACACAGCGCGAAACGTGCGTTCAGTATCGGGGAGTCGATCCTTCTGCGGCCTTGTGGCGGAGCGTTGAGTTCCACACACTCGCGCTGAAACGTCGTCGTTGTCTCAGGATCGCAGCATCCGGAGTGAAATCTTCCGATGACGAGAGTTCAGCGAATGGGATGCGGTCCTCGCGTAAGGTCGTCTTCGCGCGGGGCTTACTCGAAGGCTTCTGGGGCGTCCGTCGCGAAGCGTCGACGGTCTCCGACCGCTGAGCTGGCTGGTCGGCAGACACTTCCTAACCTCGGCCGACGTTTCTGATTGACTCTTCGTTGCCAAAGCGGCGCTGGCGAGGATAAGAGGAGAATTCATGTAAGGACAAAAAATGCAACGCCCGGCGTTAGGAAAGAGTGGAAGGAGGAGGAGGAAGAGGTGAGAGAAAGGCTGCCAGCTCCTTTGACTGTCTCGATTTTCGAGGAGGCGAAAGAGAGAGAGAGAGAGAGAGAGAGAGTATCAGCATATGAAATGAACACGCGGGAAAGGGCCGCGCGGCAGCGCATGGAAAGGTAAGCTGAGAAGCGAAAGCGGGATGGCCGGGCAAGGGTTGCGTACCGTTGCGCCTGTAGCGTGCGTGCCAGATAGAATGATGAAGAAAGTCTTTAAATGAAGAGGAGGAACATTGAATGCTGTCCCCTCAGATCTTCGCGCTCGTCGGCAGTACCACTTGACTTTCCTCGTTAACCTGCGGGTGTTTTTGCGCTTACTTTCTATTTTGTTCGAGATTTCCGGGGCGGGGGTTGTCAGTTTGAGAATCGCCCGTTCTGAAAGCTACAGCTCGACGTTGTTGTTGCTATTGTGAAGCGGCGATTTTTGGTGGCACGCACTGGCTCTTGAAAGTTGGGTCAAGTTTAGCAACATCTATGTTCTGCCATCACTGGCTGTCTTGTTCTCGTTTCATTATTTTTTTTAGAGTGCGCGTATGCCATGCACTGTGGCACAGCGAGTTCTCTTCCGTGTACAGGGGAGGAAAGTTTTATCTTGTTTTGACGCATTGAGACGACTTGCGTTTCACAGAAAGGAAGTGGGAAGTGATTCGGCCCTTCGGTAACCTCTCCTAGATGTCTCTAGAAGTACCTAAGAGATTATTATTATTATTATTATTATTATTATTATTATTATTATTTTAGTCGATCCAAAAATGAATCCGTTACTATGTACTGTTCGAGAACTCTAGCGAAGTTCTGTCGTACGCATTCACGCTGTAATATAGTCTCTATATCTTTCTCGATCTCGCGTTTAGTTTTATCTCTTTTTTTCGAACCAAACCCGTGTGTTTATTCAGGTGCTTTGATTAATTTCGTCTTACTGCAGTACGCATGCATACTCGGCGAGAAAAGCGGATACGGTTGGAGCGTCCTTTTTTAAATGCGAAGCATTTCTTAGCGAACTTCGGTGACTATAAGCGTATCTGTCTATCTATCTAGCCGCCTACGACTTGTAGCTCTCCTGGCCGTTTCGGTGATGGTATCGATACCGAAATTAGTAGAGCGTAACATGATTGTATGACGAGCATAAGTGACTAGTGATGAGTGAGTGAGTATGAACTTTATTAAGGTCCTGAGAGGAAAGAAAGCGGTGCCGAAAGCCCCGCCATCAATCCGGCGGCTGACTAGTGATAAAATCAAAAGCATGGCATGTATGTCATGGATGTCATGATTTACATTTCATGGTCTTGCGGCTCTTGCGGTCGTTTTGTTCACATGACATAATGCAAAACGGATATCGTATGACATACATGGTGAACATAAGTGACAGACACTAACGTGGAAATCATGGCATGCATGTCATGTAACAACATGACTTCATGCCATGCTCATGGTGTGCTCGTGGTAGTTTCGCTAGCTTCACATATACCGAATTCGGTATTACGTGATGCGAATGGACGACGAAGGTCCATTCGCATCACGTAATACCGGCACATCCAAACATGATAATCATGACAGGGAAGTCATGTACGGCATAATTTACGTCCGCCTCGTAGCGTTGTGTGCATTTTAAATTGACATACCAACTTTCCTCATTCGGGCTTCGGATACTATCATCGATTCACAGTGTACGGGAGATCTCGCCTTTTTTTTTAAACGTAGGCACGTTTTTGTCCTTGAAAACGCCATCGACCATGCTTCGAGTGATAAGCTGTTCGGCTCCTTAACTTGCGATGAAAGATTGCATGCATCTGCAAATGACATTGACTCTGGTCGGTTAGGTTAACAGAGTGGTGCTTTTCGATGGTCCTTTTTTTTTTATCACTGTGATTAGTACGTATGTAGAGAAATCATGTCAGTTGGTAACCTATTCTTGTTTATTTATTTCGAAGTCAGCTGTAGTGAGCAGGAGAAAAAAAACGCTAATGCTTAATAGATATAAATGATGATTGATTGATTTGTGGGGTTTAACGTCCCAAAACCACCATATGATTATGAGAGACGCCGTAGTGGAGGGCTTCGGAAATTTCGACCACCTGGGGTTCTTTAACGTGCGCCCAAATCTGAGCACACGGGCCTACAACATTTCCGCCTCCATCGGAAATGCAGCCGCCGCAGCCGGGAATCGAACCCGCGACCTGCGGGTCAGCAGCCGAGTACCTTAGCCACTAGACCACCGCGGCGGGGCGTAATAGATATAAAGTTATACACTTTACATACAGGCGTCTAACGCTCTCTTCTACGTCGAACATGGCCACTTTTTCCATATCCTTAAGCACGTTATATTTACACTCCGCACAGGTTCCGGTGTTTGTTGTTTAGATTACTATCCATGACCACGAGGTATACGAACAGAGCTGAGCTTATACGCCAATATGTCTTGATCTCTCTTGACGCTTTCGCATTTAAAGAGCTCCTTTCGCAGAAATCTCGGTGGCAGTTACTGGGAGCGCGGAATCATCATCTCGTCTGTGAGAGAAAAATAAAATTGAGAAAGATGGCAGTCAAATAAGGCTTATAGATTCGCGTGAGAATCGAACCCAGGTCGTATGCGTGCCAAGCAGGTGTTCTCTCACAGAGCCATGGTTGCTTGAATCTCTTTCGGAAATACGTATATGAATGTCATACAGTGAAAGGAGTCTCTTTACCGCATGCAACATTGCGTGACAGAAGCGTAGCGTATAGAATCACACCAGGCGTCAAAACGTGTAAATGTAATGACGATAGTTATAGCGCGAGAACAAAACGACGACACAGAGACAAGAAGGACACGAAAGTGTCCTTCTTGAAGGACACGAAAGGACACGAAAGAAGGTCTCTGTGTCGTCGTTTTGTTCTCGCGCTATAACTATGGTCATGCCATACCAACTAGCCCAAGCTGCCACACTTCTAAGTTACATGTAAATGTAAATTACAAAGCGCTCTTACGTGTTTGACCCTAATGAGCTGCAAAAGCATCGACAATGTTAACAGCTGCAATAGGTTCGCGTATTGCCTTACGGAAGCGTAGTGGGCCTTTTCGCGGATTCGCAAAAGAAGGAATCATGGCGTAGTGGGCGCTTAACGACTTAACTTGTTCTGTTCTCGCGCTATAACTGTCGTCATGTCATACCAACTAGCCCACACTGCCACACTTCTAAGTTGCAGTAGGCATTCTGAAATAGCTTGGAACGGCCAGTGTTACGCGCAGTCGTTTGTTTCTTTACGGCATGGCTGAGGCATGCACCGAGAACCGAAGCTAGGCAAACGATTTAGAAGGCGATTAGCGAGAAGCCAGATTACGCCATCGCGTGCCGTTGTTGTAGGCGAAGGCAAGGTAAAAAATAGAAAAAAAAATTTAGCAAAGTTTACCTGCAGCGAGAGTGGCGCAAAAACGTAAAACAGTTGTTCACTTACTGAGTAGGTCATGTTTTAAAATAAACTGCCTAGCTACTTGTCATTGCAGTGTCGGTTCGTGATACCTGCCGAAGATTTGCGGACTTTATGCAGCAGTCATTCTCCAAAATACTGCACGTGTATAACTTGCAGGAGACCGTGGGTCTCTTGAGATGCTGTCCTTTCCTAATTCCTTCATGTCTGTCCTGCTTCTTTTCCTAGAGTTTTTGATTTTTTATTATTTTTTAACGTTTCTTTCCCCCTCTGTTTTTTTTTTCATGTTTTTCTTCTATCCCTTTGCCTCCTGTCTCGCGAAGCTATATGAAACACTAAAAATGTGTAAATACCATTATGCCTTGGAAACGACGAGGCTCCCGTTGAAACATCGGCTGAATAAACAGTTGTCATGTGAAAGCGCATCTACTTTTATACTTAGAACCTTGCAGCAACCGAAGAACCGAAGTTGGGGCGTTTGAGCTCTGCTAACGTGAAACCTGGGAAGGTGCGGCGCGGGTGATATGCGCTGGTGTTTTCATAAACAGCGAAGTCTTGTGTGTTTAGAAAAAGTGGTGAACTATTTAGAGCTCTTGGCACTCTATTATGGGAGAGCTTAAAGCCGTCCCGTGGGTTCACTGCTTTATTTCGCACCGTCATTTTGCTGACATGCCATAGAGCAACATATTACTATGTTACTCTATGGACATGCTTCGAAACGTGGGATTTCAAATAGATGGCTATTACATTAGATGAAGGCGTGTGTCTCTGGTTTTAGATAACAACCTTGAGCGTCTTAGTAAACTTCTTCGGGTATTCTGACAGTGCTGCTAAGCCAAACATAACGCTTTAGTCACTATTGACGAACATTTAACTGATGATAGGCATAGCATGGACTGGCGGCGAGCACTGGTACTTACCGAGTACCTGTTTATCATAGACCATGACGACGACATTACACGCCGTCAATTCGAGACCCCGAGATGCTTCGCTCTCTATAATACGATAATAGGCACCACTACGGGGTGTATCACAGTATTCTCGAGCAGTTCTCGCTCTTACCACCTATTAGTGAATGAAGACTTCATTGTTTGTGATCGTCAACGCATGCAGCGTGAAGCAGTGGTATATAAACAGACTAAAAAGAAAAGCTTTGCAGAGCAGCAACAGACTTTTGTGTTAACTTTGCTTGGAAAGTAAAGTAAGGAAAGAAGGAAGAGGAAAACGAAGGCAAGGCAGTATAACCAGGTTCGTCTGATTTGCTACCCTACACTGGGGAAGGAGAATGAGGGATCAAAAGCTAGAGAGACAGAAAAGAGGGAACGCGCACACGCACACACAGAATATACTGCTGCGTTCCATGATAACGCAGGATCTCGGGCGCATCACGTTGCACTTAGGTAGACGAGTAAGGGTGCCTACTGTTGAAGACTTGCAAAAACTGGACACAGAGCATCCAGCACCTGTTGTACGGGCTTGGCAGTAATACAAGCCTACTAATA